TTTTTTTGGATACCAGGGCGTATGATGAACGCAAGAATGCGCAGCCTTTCCTTTGAACTGTAAAATAACTGCAAAGTCCTAAGTCCAAACGAGCGTTATTTACCCATAATGAATGTCTTAAATTTAAAAATAAAGATTTAGCCACCTTTTTACTTTATTGTAAACAATATATGTAAACGGAAATTAGAGAAATTGGCATAAATACTAAGTAAACATTGATAACCCAAGCTATACTCGCGTTAGTTCTATTCCCTCAACAAAAAATGTTGTTGTCGAAGAAAACAATACAAACAATGGGCCTCATGCATAAAAAGTTAGCTTAAGCTCAGATTCAATTTTTGCACCGATGGAGTGATTTTAAGCTCAAGAATTTGTACTGAGAATCGAGTCGGAGCTTAGGCTCACCTTTTATGCTTAAGGCCCAATATTTCCATACATTCACATTAACGCATCCTCTATACTTTTTACTAGTTTGTCTATAGTTTTCCCTCATTTTCTGCCATAAATATTCAGCATTCAATCACTTATTAGGTCTGAAATATCACTTTGGTTCATTAAGCTAGACATTCGCTTCATCAGTGATCTTTGGTTTCTTTCTTTTCATCTATAAAATGTCTCCCCCAAGCATTAGATAGCTTTGCATTAGCCGCTTCTGCTCTTTAATGAGCATCATCGCTTAATTTTCATCGTCACTTCACCTACACTATGTAAATACATACATATGTGTTTGCTGTTGCTTTCAATGGCAAAACTTACCCTGCAGAGAAAAGCCCAAGTACTAAAAGATTCCAGTAGTTGAACTGGTGTAAGCAGATCCGAACCGAAACGTGATTAATAATTTTAACTTGACCAGTTCAAAAAGTTCAAACAACTTGCAAAATGTCTGATTTCTTTCTCCAATTTCCTTCAGAATCGATCAGTCCTCCAAATCAGACTGAACAGAAGCAATCCTGATATTAGTGTAGATATAGACATGGTTCTCGAAAAAATATCCTTCCATTATGGTAAAAAAGAGGATGCGATGACTTTTCCACGCAGATATTTACTAACTTTTCATACAGAAATTAAATGTACTTTAAATCTCTCATAAGGAAATAAGTACCTAAACAGGCATTATTTTCGGAACCACATTCTGCACTGTCCGTCTGGGATATGCTTGTGCGTTTCTCTACCTACATATGTGTGATTACCTATAGAGATTTTCCATAGTATTTTCTTTACTTGCCTCTCGGCATATCTCACACATCTGCCTGTTAAAATAACCGACACCTCATCTTTGCACATGGCATGCTTGTGTAGACGAGTGTGTGCGTTTATTTCTACATAATTTTGTGTATACATACATATTTGTATTAAAAATATGTGCGATAGAGTTAATATATTTTTGAAGAAACGTGAATATATTTACATATGTATGTATGTACATTAGGCTGCATCACTCCCCTTATACAAAAGAAAGCGGTACTGTTTTTCCTTTGGAATTATATTTTTTAAGACTTTCACAAAAATATTTCGAAAATATATTAAGATTTACGTGAGCTGGACCAATTTGAAAATACCTTCAAAACATGAGTTTTTTATAAATAATAATTAAAAAAAAAATATTACAAAAAAATGAATCACTTCAAGTGACAAAACAGTTTAAGCTTAAAAAATTTGCGTAAAAACTCTAAAAAAAATTTTCCACGGAATCATAATAATGACATTTTTTATGCTGTTATTGAACTTTTTTGAAAGATTGGTTTAAGAAAAACTTGAATAACTCAGCCAAAATTTTACCGACCTAGACTTAAGAAATATCACTGGAAAGGTACTTTGTCACCCTTTTTATTTCTTTGGAAATATACTCATTCAATGTATGAAAGAGAAAGGTAGGATGAACGAGCCTCATTCCAAGTTAAATTAAGATGTGCAGATACTAAAAAAAAAATATTGGACGTGAAAAAAGAAATTAAAAAGGGTGAGAAAATACCTTGCCACTGATACTTCAAAAGTCTAAATCGGTATAGTTTTGTCCCAGTTATTCAAGTTTTTCTTAAATCAATTTTAGAACTTAAAAAAAAAACAGCATCAAAAATCTCATTATTACGATTTCGTCGAAAAAAATTTGATATTTTCATGCAGATTTTTTAAGTTTAAACCATTTTGTCATCTGAGGAGTTTTTTTTTTTTTCAAAAAATTAATTAAGAAACTATTTTTGTTCAAAAAAAATTCCATATTTGCAGGTATTTTCAAATCAGTCCAGCTCACGTAAATCTTAATATTTTTCCGAACAATTTTGGTGGACATGTTCAAATATTTATAATACATTTTGTAACTCCGATGGAAAAACCACAACCTTTTTAAGTTGATGCAGGTCTAATGAACATACATTTCATTACAATGTGTGTGTAGCTGTCACTCAACGGTAAATGGTTTTCTTGTGCCAATTAATAGTCGGTTTGCGGCTATCTTTGTTGTTGTAACAGGTATTGTGCTGTGGTGGGTAAGTACAAAAAGGTGTTCACCAAATTAACCGCACCATTTCCGCTCTTTACAAAGCCAAGAGTTTACACAAGGGGTTAAAGTAGATTTATAACTTTATGCAGTTAGGGTAACTTAATGCATAATTGATAGATACATACTACGTACATATGTATGTACATACATAAGCAGTGTGTGTTCGCTGCAGGTAGGCTTTTGTTTAATTTACCAATGATTTACTCATTTAGCTCTTTCTTGCTCAAAATTTTTCTTGACGACATATTAAATTCGTATTTTTATTTTTTGTTTCAGTGGTGATGCTTTAGCAACGCTCTTTTCTGCATTATATGGCAAATTACTGGTGGTAATGGGCATCGCCTTTCCAATGGCCGAAGTTATATCTACTTATATACCACCTTCCTTTTATGAGGTAAGTTAAATAAATATTAATAGCGTCTTTAAGAAATCAGAAAAAAAAACATTTTTGTTGTGGTAAAATATCTGTAAAAATTACATGCAAATGCATATATAAATTCGATACATTTTAAAAAAGGGCACTTGCCAGGATAACTTATTTGTCAAACAGTAAACTTTTCAAGGTAATATTTCCTCACACATTTGTATATATTTGCACATTTTGGTAGTTACACAGTGGACCTTTTTTT